TCCATATATTTAATTAATTAAATAGATCCATTTAAATAATTCAAAGACATTGCAAATACGTCCAATTTATTGATTTTATCCTTAAGGCATTTTATCCTTAAAGACATACACGATGGCAGATTAAGATATTTCTGAAAATTCTTCATTTTAAAGTTGTCCTTTCAATTTCAGATGCTACCGCGAACATGAACTCCGAGAAACATTAAATGTCATTATTTTTTATATTTTTAAATAAATTATATAATTAACAAAATATTGTATATTCTCAAAACTAGGACAAGTATTTTTTAGCATTCATGTATATTTTGTTCTTTCTTCTCATATTCTGAATTTCTTTCCAAGTTTCTGAATAAATGCAGTCGCGAGATCGATATTTTCAACGCGCTCTCGTATTTCTGTATACATCAAAAATGCACCAACAAAAATGCATTAATTATATTGTTCGACAAAAAGTCAAACTTTTTTTCTTATATAAAAGTGCTGTAGTATATTATATCGTGATATATATATATACCGTGGTATATTATCTCTCGAAGATTTTTTTATGTCAAATATGATATTATTAGCAGAATTTGTGTAACATGTCAGAATTTTAAGATAAATGGAACAAAAAAAAAACAATTTTGATTATTTTAAACATTTTTTACAAACTAAAACTTTGTTTCTAAATACAATCTAAAAATACAATTCAAGAGCTTACAAATGAATTTTAGTTCATGATTGTACGTTTTATTTTAATCAAGTTATAACTGTTTTAATTTTAGACTTTCTGTAATTACACAATTCAACAAAAAGCGTTCCTTTTTTATCTTTAAAGTGTTATAGTATTGATATAGTATATATTTAAAGTGTTATAGAAAATTTTTCGCATTAAATACAATGCCATCGTTAAATTTTGCGTAACAATAGATTTTTTAATAAGATGTGTAATATTAAATTGGTGTAAATATTTTATTTAGAAACAAATTTTTGTTTTGTCGCAAAAAAAACTGAAATCGACAAAATGTCATTTTATCTCTATTTACTAAAAAAGTCTGACATGCTACACAAATTTTACCAACGGGATCGTGCCAACACGAAAAAATTTCGGCATTTGTACTATGACATTTTAGAAAGAATTTGGATGTTGGACAATATTATTTAAAGGGGAACAACTGTGCGTTTAAATAAATAAATCTCTAATTTGTCGAAAATAACAAGCGAATGATGAGTAGAAAGCGATTCTCCAGATAAAGACAATTACGTTGGATTAGGAATAATACCATAATACGTGAGAAGAATCGCATGACATAAACGTGCATTTTGTAACGCTGGAATATTTCCATGACTGATTATCATACGGTACGTGGATCGTCATCGTGGTTTGTTACTGTGACGGTTTGCTATGTGACCTTCTGCATTGTCACCAAAATCCACTATCTACAGACATTCGTCATGTTGTAAGAAATATTTTACGTTTCATCTTCGCAAGCAGTTTTTTTGTAAATCGTAGTTGCTCGTAATTTTATCACGAAACAAATTGCTGCGACATTATTATTAAGCCATTTTGAGTCTCATTCTCGAAAAATATTGCATACAAAAATACAAGGAAATCTATAATATACATAATGTAACTAATATTTTCATACATTTTTGTACGCGGTATTCTTCTTGAACCTCCTTACCTCTAGTCGTCAAATAGCAGAAAAGATGTAAACAAAATCAATTGGTGACCAATAAGAAATTATTATCTCTATTTAATACAAAGATTTTTTTATAACATTATAGTAAATTAAAACAATTGATGAAACAATCTATAAACATTGAAAATTGATCATAATAAATGTAGATAATAATTAATAGATAATAATTAATAGAAATTAAACAATTAACAAAGTACAATTTTAGAGTTATGCTTTATTAACTATATTAGAATTTTATTTTATGATTTGCCATGTCAACAATAGTGAATCGCAATAATGAAATGATATTGGTATCGGAGAGAGAAACAGAGAGAGAGAGAGAGAGAGAGAGAGAGAGAGAGAGAGAGAGAGAGAGAGAG